AAGCTCGAGGCGCGCGGGCTTCAGTAGTTGTGGCACGGGCTCAGTAGTTGTGGCTCGCGGGCTCTAGAGCACAGGCTCAGTAGTTGTGGCGCACCGGCTTAGTTGCTCCGCGGCATGTGGGATCTTCCAGACCAGGGATCAAACCCATGTCCCCTGCATCGGCAGGCGGACTCTCAACCACTGTGCCACCTGGGAAGCCCCTGGTTATCTATTTTAAACATAGCAGTGTGTACACGTCAATCCCAAAGTCCCAATCGTTCCCTCCCCAGCTCCTTCCCCGACGCCCCCCCGCCCCCCACCCCCGTAACCATAAGTTCCTTCTCTAAGTCTGTGAGTCTGTTTCTGTTTCGTAAATAAGTTTGTTTACCAAGCCCATTTTACAGTCGAGGAAACTAAGACCCAGAAGTGAACCGATGCGAACGGCTCCAGCACAGGTGTGATCTCTCTCTCCCAGGTCCACCTGATGCAGCCTCTCTAGGCCCTGCTTTCATGGTGTTGATGAAAGTGCTCTTAGTTTAGACAGTGCTCTTAGTAACCAAAGGTTACATGAAGAGACTGCGGTCCAGTTAGGGAAATGAGAACAGTGAGGAGAGAGTCAGTTACACTGATCACTCACTGTGGTGTCCTGCTGAGAGGGCCACAAAGCAACAGCCTCTGAGGACAGAGGGTGTGGGCTAAGGGAAGGGGAAACACCTTTCAAATTCCGGCTCTGAAAACATCCTGGAGAGATGGGCTGCTGCTGCTGCCGCTGTGTTTATTGGTAGCTGTTCCTGTTGAGGCCGGCAGCAAACTCCAGTGGGCCTGGCTGCCCCACGAGGCCAGGGCGCCCCAGCAGAGCAGGTCACTCAGAAGGAAGCCCACCCGTGGTACCGACTGCAAACCTCTCAGCACTTTCTCCCGTTCCCTGAGCGGCCTGAGATGGTGGGAGGCCTGCCCCCCTCTCCCAGAGCCTTGGCATTTTTCCCTGTTCTCTACTCAGAACTCAGACTTGTGGCCTCATTATTATTTCTGAGAAGGATCCAGAAACCGTCCAGGGGCTTGGCCTCCCATCCAAGTGCTGGGGAGGGGGTAGTGGGCCAGGCCGTGTGACTGGACGGGTCACCTCCCCAGCTTTGTCCTCCATCTGCAGCACGCGGAGGCTCTCCTCTGCTGGGGTGGCCCTGACCTGAGGCCGGGGAAGCATCCTGGTTCTGCCTTTGCAGAACCTGCAGGGTCTGTTTTCCCATGGCAACCATCAGCTGGGCCTTAGGTGGGCACCGTTCCAAGGGTCTTGGGCCCCTCGACGTAGAGGTTGTGGGTTGAAGCCATTCATCGCCGTTTCATGTTGTTCTCTTTCCAATAGAAGAGAAGTAGTTCTCTTTGCGCACGTCTTGGTCAAGACGGGAAATCAAAAGAAAGATAGGGGCGCCTATCAGGAGGGGACGCCAGGTGCCCTTTCCTCATTTGTGGGGCCGGCCCACCCCACAGACAGGGAGGTGTGTGTGTCCCTGGACCCATCTCCTCTTGTGGTAAGACCACTGGACCGTCCCCGGACACGGGCTTCCGCTGCGATCACTCCTGGGGAGGGCGGGGTCTCCGAGGGCCCTGGTGAGGCTAAGGGATGCGTGGGGGTGGGCGGTGGGGTGTTCAGGGTTAGGGTTAGGGGAGGCCAACTGGAGAATACGAATGTGGAGTCCAAACAGGAGCCTGCCCTTCCCCCGAGCTGAGACAGGGCGAGCTCGAGGGAGAATGGGGGTGCTCCCGGCTCGGTTCGACGTGTGGGGACGACTGCCGCCACGTGTGGGGCGCAGGGCACGCCGGGGCCGCCACCACGCAGCGCGCGCTGCACCTGCGGTCATAGGTACCGCCCGCCCGCCTTGCACAGGTGGGCGCGGGGGCGGAGCCTCTGGGTGGTAGGAACCTTGGGGCGGGGCGTCGGCGCGCGGCGGCGGGCGGTGCCTCGGGTGGGCGGGGCGCTGGCGCGCGCGCGGCGGGTGGACGGGGGCGGTGCGCGCGGTGGGCGGTGCGGCGTGACGCGCGCCGACGCCGATCCCGGAAGCGGTGTCAGATGCTGGGGAGCCGGGCGGGCGGGCTGGCGGCGGGCGGTGGGCGGCGGGGGGGACTTGTTGTTCTTCGCGAAGTCCGAGCCGGAGCGCGCGGCGGAGGCGGTGGCCGACGGGGAGCGCGAGAGTGAGCGCGAGCGCGAGGAGAGCGCGTGCCCGCGAGGAGCCGCCGCGCGCCCGCGCCCCCCGCGCGACGCCAGGTGAGGATCTGCCGGGCAGGGCTGGGCCAGGGGCCTGGGGCCGGGGGACCGGGCGGGGGGCGCCAGCCGCTGAGTCACGGCCCCCTCAGACCCGTGACCAAATTGGGCCGGACCCTGGGACTCCGACCCGGCCGGCGCACCTGCCGTCAGGTGTCCCGTCCCGAGCGCGCCGCGCGGGCTGGGGGCCTTCCTTCTGGGGAGGGGAGCGCGCCCCCGACCCCGGACCCCAACCCCGTGTCCGGAGGCGGCGGGCGCAGGGCGGGCCGGGAGAGGGCCGAGTGGGGAGCGCGGCGTTCCGGCGGGCCCGGTGCCCCCTCCCGGCTCGCCCCACCTGTTTTGCTCTCAGGCCCCGGAGATAAGCTCCGGGGGAGGCGGGGGCCACGTGCCGGGGAGCGCGTGGCGACCGGGGCGACTCGGGCCTCGCGCACCTGGGCGCTGCCCGGCTCGGCCGCGCGGTCCCGCCCCGGCGGCGCTCAGGCCCGGCCTGCGCTGCCCGCGCCCGGGTCCCCGCCGCGCCGAGGGTGGCCAGGGCGAAGAGAAGGGGCCTCGCCGACCGGGTCGCGGTCCGAGCAGCCGACCTGCCGGGGCTCACGGAGGGAGGCCTCGGTGTGGGAGCTTGGGGTGGGGAGGGGGACGGCGAACGCGTCACTTCCCGAACCCCATGGCTCGCGGCTCATTTTTCTCCTCTGTGAATGGGGTGTCTCCATCCCTTCTCACTGGAAATGCGGGTCCTTCGGTGCCTTTTCCGAGTTCAGGACACAGGCGATGTGTCAGTAGTCTGCCTGCTTCCACACACCTTCTCCGGAACCCGGGAGGGAGGGAAGTGTTGGGCTATGGCCCCGGGTCTGCGTTGGAAAAGCACATCGCTTTGCCCTCCGTCTCCTGTCTCCCGTTGTAGTATCCTCACGCGCCACGTGTCCTGGAGTCTTCACCCAAGCGGCACTTGCCCACATTCTGCCCACATTCCCGGAGCACTCGGTTCGGGTTGCTGGAAGTCCCCTGATCTCTTTCGTGTGTTAATGATTACGCTCTTGTTTACCTTCCCCACGGCCCTGGTAGCCCAGGCAGAAGGGAGCTCTTCCCCTAACAGTTCATTCAGAGTTGACCAGCACTCATCACCCCCTTGCCAGGTGCCTGGCCTCACTCGGGGAGCTCCCGCGACTCGCGTGCCCACACCCAGCCCATAGTGACAGATCAGTGGCTCCCCCGCAGTGTGGCTTGGCGGCCCCGCTGCCCTCCCCTTGCCCCTTTATTGGCATTGGCGAGGTTTTCCCGCACAGCGGTTGCTGCACAGGTGTCTTAATGAAGTACGGCTGTGTGCCATGTGTGCTGTCTCTGGAGCCCGGTCTCGAAGACTCATGTCTTCAGGGGGATGGCGCTTTTTAAAAAAGCATTTGTCTAAGCGGGGCGGGGGGGGGGGGCCTGGGAAGCTGAAGGTGGGCTGTGCCGTGGGTGGGGCACACCTGCAGCTTGTTGCATCCTGGATGGTTGACACCTTTCGGAGAACTTCTCTCCCTGGGTCCAGTAGGAATGTTTGAGTCTGAGCTCGGTAGAGGGTGTCTGCTTTTATGACTTAAAGCTAGACCTCTCGCTCTTCCAAAATAAAACATTTATTAACTCAGAACCACAAGTGAGGCTTCTCCCCAGAGCGCCTTTGCCTCTTGTGCTCGAGCATAGCTGGCCTTTAAGGGCTGGCTTCCAAGTTCAGCATCGCTCACTTTCAAGGTGGTTGCTAAAAATGGGAGTTGAATCGAGGCTACTGGGGAAGTCGGCTCCGGGGCTTGCTGCGTCCCAGCCCTTTTTCCAGCCCTGCAGCTGAGGCTGCCTCGGAGCCAGGTCGTTTTCCGGACCATTCTTTGTCCCCCGCGGTGCATTCTTTCACTCTCTGGCTCTGCCGTCGCTGCGGAGTTTGTTTACAATCTCAGGCAACCTAGAATTCCTGCCCGTGTCCTGGCTGTTCCCGAGTCTAAAGGTTTCTGGACGGACTTTCTGGATGTCGGGTCCAGTCCACACGGGAAATGGAGCCCCGGCCAGCTGGGAGCGTCCTCTGTGTGGCCGCTCCTCAGAGCAGTAAACAGTGACTCACCCTCCCCTCTGCTCCCCGCCCCCTGTTCTCTGCTAATGGAAGATGCATTGCTCCGCTGTTTACTTTTGCTTTTTATAAGTCACAGACTCGTCATGTTTCCTCTTTCTTACAGTGTCAGGAAATTGAAAGTGTCATCTTAAAATTGTAGGATTCTAGAGCAGGTAGAGATGAACCTGTGTGGTCTCAGTCCACACACACACACACACACACACACACACACACACACACACTCCATTTTATGTGAGGAAACTGAGCCCCGAGCCTCCTTGCCGGCCTGTGGGGCGGGGTCCCGTATCCGGGGTCTGTGCAGCACCTGCCTGCCTTTCTGCGCTGCCTGTCTGGGTGCCCTGGGCCAGGGGGCAGAGAGGAGACGGGGTGGAAGCCGCCCCAGGCCCCCTCCCTTCAGCGCAGTGCTCACACACTTGCTTATGCAGCAGACCTCTCACCTGCCAGGAGTGGGGGGAGCAGGTAGGTAGGAGGGTCCGCTGCTCTCCATCCAGCGAGGGAGGCAGGGCTTGGACACAAGGACCAGGTCTTGGGCTCAGCCGTCGACGTGTGCTCAGGAGGGGGCACCCCCCTAACCACAGGGAAGGCAGGGGAGTCTTTCTGGTGATGCCAGGGTTGGGGGAGGGGAGGGCAGGGGGCTCAGAAGTGGGAGGGTACCCAGCACAGATTTGGGGGGGGCTGGCATGGCGACAGGTGGTCAGGAGAGAGGCGGGCTCAGGAGGGACTCTGACCAGGGGGGCTCCCTCTGCCTGCTTGGAGGGGCTGCATTTGAGGGACCGAGATAGGAATACAGACGAGACGCAGGGGGCCTGGGCCCAGGCGGTGCTGTAGGGCCGGAGCGTCTACAGGGTGATGCAGGCCGAGCCTAGCAGGTGGGCATGGAAGGAGGGGTGAGGCCTGGGGGGCCATCATCACCTGAGCTGGAGACCCAGGAGGAGGGCAGGTGTGGAGAGAGGGTGAGCTCCGGGGCCCGTGCAGGCATCCCTGGCTGGACTTGGAGGTTGGGCTGGTTGGAGCCCTGCATGGCACAGCTGGGCTGGGGGAGAGCAGAAGCCAGAAGGGGACCCCCCGGGGGCTTGAGGGGATCAGGGCCTGGCCTGAAGCTCCGTGGCAGGAGCAGAGGGTCACGGGGCGTGGCGGGTGCGGGGCGGCGGTCCGCCTGCTGTCAGCCCGGCAGCTGCCTGAGTCACCTCTGGACGTAGCCAGGATGACACAGCTTCCTTGGGCTGCAAAGGCAAGGTGACCAGACGTCCTCCGAGGCAGGCAGACAGTCACGTCTTGCCGGAGGGCGGCCAGCCAGGGCCAGCCTGGAGGCTGGGTGCAGGCCGGGCTGGTGGGGTGCGCGTAGAGGTGCGGCAGGACACACACCCCGTCTTGCGGAGCTGGGGCTGGGCGGTGGGAGCCCTTCTGGTCCTGGGACCTGTCTTGAGCTCGTTCGTTCGTGGGATGAGTCGATGTGTGCTTGTTTGGGAAATGGGTGCCCGCTGTGCGGCCAGAGCGGGGGCCGCCGCCGCACGGTGGCTTCTGGCTTTGGGTTCCGCTCTCGGCTGCGGGAGTGATAACCTGCCCTCCCTCCTCCTCCTCCCCCTCCTCTGACCTGACACCCTCGAGGCCTGGGAATGGCAGGGCTGCTCCGTCCGCTTGTCTTGGGCTGAGGGGCACGGGCACGGGCCGCACAGGAGCAGTGTTTCGAGGGCCCACCCTGCTCGGTATCAGAGACGCGGCTTCTCACGCGCAGGCTCACGATCTGGGCAGGCGGGCTAGTCGTCCAGTCTAGGCGCGAATCTGAAACTCTAGAACCTCCCTTGCTCCTAGGTAATCCAAACCCGGGGCTGTTCGGGTGGGTCAGTGCTCCTGTCAGCCACTGGCTCCCCTGATGGAGAAAATGTCCCCCGGGCCCTGGACCCCGGCCCAGCCCCTCGAGGGCCGGAGCACACGGGGGACGGCCAGGCCATGAGTCACCTCAGGAGCTAGGTCACAACTGAGGAAGGGGTTTGTGAGAGGGAAGGTAAGAAGTGGTCCTGGCCCAGGCCCACCTGCCTTCCGGAAGAGCAATCCTGAACTGTTAGACCTGGCCGCCCTGCCCTGTTCCTAATGGGCCCGGAAGGGGAGGGACGCCCCAGCCCCCGAAGGCCCTCCAGACCACGCGGTCACCTGAACTGCTCCATCTAGTCTGCTGGGGTTCCCTTTTCCTGGAGAGGAAGCCCTCTTCCGTGTTCAGCTGTACGTGAGAATGGAGTTTCCGGCTTTGGGTTGAAAACCAGCCTTAGTCAGGCTGACGGTCGCCTGGAAGGTGTTCTGGGGTAGAAGTGCTGGCTGCACGCTGTCTGGCCCAGCAGCTCCTTCAGGGCTTGGGGAGGGGGCGAGCGGAGGGCAGCCCCGCCATCCGGGCTCCCAGCCCAGCGCTGGCCACCGAGCTTCTGGGGTGAGCCCACCAGGACGAGCCCAAGGGCTCTCTGCACGTGTGTCGCCAGGTTCTGTTACTTGGCGGCAGTGCCCGGGCGTCCTTCCTTGTACGGGGCTGTTGAAAAGACGTGTGGGGTGACCAGGCTCCGATGCGGCGGCGCTGGGCGCCCCTGCCCGTGCCCAGCTGCTGTCTCCCACCCCAGCCGGTTCCAGCCGAGTCCCAGAAAGCAGTTCGTCCTGTGTGAGCTCTGCTGGCCCATGAGGTTGCCTGATGTTCCGTGGTTCACAAATACCCTTTTAGGGCAGTTGTTTCAAAATCAGGTGTTTTATAAACTCTTCTTCACACCTACAAAACTCTTCTCCGAACCTCTTTCCAAGAGCGAGCTGTTGTTTTTCTGAAGTCAGAAGTGACGTGAGGTCGATACTTTGTGTGTTTTGGGTGTTGGGCGAGAGGCGAGTAACCGTGCCGCTCCTGTCCCTGTGCCGAGTCTGCGGAAGGGCCTTCTGCCCCTGGGCCTGACTTTGGTGTGAGCCCCCTGGGCAGGCACCGGGCTGGGAGGAGCAGGTCCCTGAGGAGGGGGCAGAAGCCAAGGCAGTGGGGGTCATGATGCTGAGCAGGGCGGTGGGTGTCTGCTCCTGCCCCGGACTTGCCACCTTTCCGCAGGGCCGGGGTGCTGGTACAGGCCCTGCAGCCCAGGGGGTTGAGAGCGCGGCCCTCGGCCGGAGTGTCTCTCACGGCGTCACCTGCGTGGCCCAGCTGAGGACATTTGGCACTGGGGCCCTTGGTTCTGATCCCCTCATTTTTCAGAAGGGACGATCGAGACCCACAGAGAGAAGGGGGTCTGCTTCATCACCCCCAGAGGGTGACCAGCCCCTCGGCTCCATATTTACACGCATTCGCGCCATCTGCTTGGACACAGAAGGCCTGAGAACTGAGGAAAGGTTCCTGAGGTCAGACCCCGGCTGGGACCCCAGCCGGACCACTCTCTCCCGTCTCTGCCGGGGCTCCTCGCCCGTGGTCCTGGGCCCCAGTAGCCCAGGTGGTGGACGAGGTGGACTCAGAGCCGGTGGACGTAGCCTGAGGGTCTGCCTGGGCGACCTTGACCTGGTGAACAAGGGCGCCTAACGCTCGTGGGACCTGTGCAGAGGGCAGGGGGCCGAGCCCACGGGGTGCTGAAGCCCAGGCCTATGCACATCCTGGGAATGGGCGACCCACCAGGCAATGTCACGGTGGGCAGGTCCCCAGGGGAGGCGTCCCTGCCCTGAAGGTGCCCGGGTCCTGGCCAGGCCGGTACGTTACTGAGGGTCTGCTCGGGGTCCGAGCGTAGCCCCCCCTGCCCCCCCCTTCCTTTTCCCACCGGGTGGGAGCTGGTCCGGGTGGGTGGGCGGGGCCTCAGGCTGTGGGAATGTGAGCCCAGCTCTGTAAACAGCTGGTGACTCACCGCCCAGCTATGCCCTGGCGTGCTGAGAGCGAGCTGGAATGATAGCCGCCCGCCCGTCCTGGAGAAGTTTCTCATGGCCTCCCAGCCGCCTGGCCCACCAGCCCTCCTAGTGGCTTCTCCAGCCCAGCGTTGACCCCTGCACCGGAGGGAGGGGCGGCCCGTGGGGCACTCTTGGGTCCCCCCAGATGCCAGGGGTCAAGCCACAGTCAGGAAGCAGCTCTTACTTCCCTACTAGGATTGCCCCAGGAGCGGCTGCATGTCTGTCTCCAGCACACATGTAGCTGCGAGGAGAACAGAGGGGCACGGCTCCCCCCGGAGGCCACACTGGCCTTGCTGCCATCCTGCTCTCCCGCACCAGCGCCCGGGAGAGTGGCTGTGCTGCCGGGGCCGACCAGGGGTCCAGAGACCTGGGTGCTGAGACCCTCTGGTGGTGAAGGGTGGCGGGCCGCGGAGGCAGGGTGGATGGGTGGAGGGTCCAGGCAGTGCTACAGCGAGGGTCTCAGGGCTGCGGGAGAAGGCCGTCCCCAGGTCTCCCTCACCTTGAGATGGAGGCTTTGCTGTGGCTCCATCTCTGGCCCCAAGACCCTCCTTGGGTGTTTCTCTGCCGTTCTCTCTGCTCAGTTCACCTCATCCGGCGTTCGGAACTCGGGGGGCAGACCCCGACCCTGTAAGCTGGAGACACGGCGCACCAGCGAGTCGGGCCGGTCCTCCGCATGCCTCCCCCAGCCGCAGGCATGAGGGGCCTGCTTGCTGCCCCACAACCTGCGCTGTCTGCTCGGCCTGCCCCAAGCCATTGTTGCTGTGGGCTTCTCTGTTTCCATGACGACCATGGGGGGTTGGCTACTTCCCAAGGTCGCCATGGCAACTATCAGAGGGGAATCATGCTTGGGATGCTTTGGCTGGCTTTTTCATGAATGATTAGAATGTGTGACACAATGCAGACGCGAAAACGAGAAGGGCGGGGCGGGCGGCCGGGGCTGGCGGGCGGCAGAGACGGCTCCCGCCAGACGGTCAGTGAGCTCTGGAGGTCCCTGGTCGCAGGCTGGCTGGCGTAGGGAGCCCCCGCCCACGCTCTGGGCCTCAGGTCATGGCTGTGGGGCAGCCTAGGTGAAGGTGGTGATGTCACAGCTGCAGTGCCCTTGGCGGAGGTAGGTCTGTTGGGGAGGGTGGGGCGTGGCCAGGGCGGGCACGGGGCTCCCCCCAACCCGTAATTACGGTGAGCTCAGCAAGCCAGGGGCTCCCCACCTGGCCTCTCGGGGGGCCAGGTGGGCCCAGAGTGATGGGGTCTTGCCAGGGCAGGGGCTGTCCCTGGGGCCAGTGGCGATTCACAGGGGCTAGGTGTGGCCTTTCGGGAGGGGGCTTTGCTACGGCGCACTTGGACCCCTGAACATGGCGTCCTGCCACAGGTGCAGACGTCTAGCTTGGGGCCGGAGGCAGAGCAGGAAGCGGCCGCTGCTTCTGCCCGGTGCCAGCCCGCGGCGCTGGCGCTCATGGCCCGGGCCCAGTGGGCGGGGGCAGTGTGGGACAGCCGTGGCTGCCAGGCCCCAGACAAAGTGCACGCAGGCCGCTCTCGGGCCGCTGCTGGAGTTGGGGGTGTGGGCAGGTGTCCTCCCGGGCCCCCTGGGCAGTGGCTCAGGACACCCAGGATGCCCCTGCTTGCAGGGTGCTGTGACTGGACAGTGCAGAGCGGGGAGCTGAGCCTCCTCGGGGCATCCCTGCAGGGGGTCGTCCCTGCTTTGGGTCACCTGTGCCCAGTCAGGAACTCATCACACTCGCTTCTGTGCTCTGTGATTTTCAGTTACCATTTCCAAGCGGTTCTGTCCGGGTGACTGTACCCAGGTTATGACGACTAATCCCAAAGCGAACAAGGCGTTGAAGGTAAGGGGGTGGGATGGGCACAGGCCCGGGAAGGTCCCTCCCGGCCCCCGAAGCCCCTGTCCCAGGACCGCCCTAGAGTTGAGGAAGGAAGCCTGTCACCGGGCGTGGGGAGGGGCCGTGGGCTGGAGGAAGTACCTTTGGGAGAAGTGATGCTAGAGTCGCGGGCTGTGGCTTCGGGAGACGCCGGCCCTGGCGCCTGGGGGTGGAGGGGTGGGTGCCTGCCGGCCAAGACGTACTTGTCAGCCCAGCCCCGGACGTGGGCAGGGTGGCGTCTGGTTCCGCAGAGCCCCTGGTGGGGTGCCCGTGAGCGGGTGCTGCAGCTCCGAGCCTGGTGCCGTGGGTCCGCGCCAGGCGCTGCCTCCCTGGGGCTGGCCGTTTCCCTGCTTAGGAGCAGAGCTGGGTCTGGCCGGAGTCAGCTCTCTGTGCGTCTGTGGGCTGTGCCCTTCCAGGCGCCTCCTGGGGTCCCGCTGGGTCCACGTAGCCTTGTCCCACCGGCCTTGGCGGGACCTAACGGGCCTGAGGGGTGCAGAGGGAGGGGTTGCCGCCAGCCCCGCACCAGGCACTGGAGAGTCCCGGGGCAGCACAGCCGGGCCGCGGCCTCGTGGGGTTTGGGCGACAGAGGGCGACCGGCTCTCGGCCGGGCATGGCCGACAGCATCCCTCAGGGGACACCCTGCCCCGTACCGCGTGCACGATGCCGGGCGACCCCACGGCGCCCATCCCCGTTCCGGGGTGGAGGCCGGGCCGGCCTGGGGCGCAGAGGGGAAAGGGGCCGAGCCCTGGCGCCCGTGGCATGTGTTCCGGTCCCCGCCCCGACCACGAGCTGCGGCCCCACAGGTCAAGAAGGAGGCGGGCGAGAACGCCCCGGTGCTCGGCGACGATGAGCTGGTGTCCATGTCGGTGCGGGAGCTGAACCAGCATCTGCGCGGCCTCACCAAGGAGGAGGTGGTCCGCCTGAAGCAGCGGCGCCGCACGCTCAAGAACCGCGGCTACGCGGCCAGCTGCCGCATCAAGCGCGTGACCCAGAAGGAGGAGCTGGAGCGCCAGCGGCTGGAGCTGCAGCGGGAGGTGGAGAAGCTGGCCCGCGAGAACAGCAGCATGAGGCTCGAGCTGGACGCCCTGCGCTCCAAGTACGAGGCCCTGCAGACCTTCGCCCGCACCGTGGCCCGCGGCCCCGTCACACCCACCAGGGTGGCCACCACCAGCGTCATCACCATCGTCAAGTCCGCCGAGCTCGCCTCCGCCTCCGTGCCCTTCTCGGCCGCCTCCTAGTGCCCGGCGGAGGGCGCGGGGTGCTGGTCGAGGGCCCCACGGGGAGCGGACCCCTTCACGCCGGAGTCAGATCGCGGACCTGTGCCGGGCTCGGGCCGGGGCTGGAAAAGAGTAGGTTCCCGGGGGCCCAAGTGCCACCTGCTCTGCACACACACGCGCCCACGCGGCCCGCCTTCCCCCGGGCCCTGCTGCCTCGCTCAGGGCCGTTTCCAGGGCTCTGTCTTGCGCTGGGGGAGTTGGGATGTGTGGAGGGAAGGTCCTTGGGAGGTTCGCGGCCCAGACGTCTTCCGCCCCTCCCACGAGCAGCGCGTCCGTCCCCCGCTCGGCCCCCCGGCCGGTGCAGGACCCCCTCACCGCCCTGGGTGCCCCAGGAGGAACCGTGCCCCAAGGGGTCCGAACACCCGGGATCCTGTGCCCCGTGAGCGGGTGGAGGAAGGGCTGCATGTGCATGAGAGCGTGTGCGAGCCTGTACACACGAGTGCGTGCAAGCGCATGTGCACGTGTACCCGTCCTCCCGTCAGTGTGCCAGTAGCACCGGGGACCTTGGGGAGCGGCTCGTTAATGGGGCTCGGGTGAGCCTTGGGCTTTCCCCTCTGTGTTGGGTGACCTAGGGCAGGTCCCCATCGCGGAGCAGCAGCCGCCTGGCCGGGGAGGCGGAGCCCTGTGTTCCGTGTGGAACAGGTGTGAAGGCGGCGGCGGCAGCCTCAGGCACGGGCCACGGAGCTGGGCAGCGGCGCCCGTGGTCCTGCCCGTGGGTCCTGCTGCTGGAGGAGGTGAGAGCAGGGAGGAGGGTGGGGTTGGAGAAAGAGGAGTGTGGACGGTGGGGGGAGGTGACGATGGGGGCGGCGCTGGGCTGGAAAGGTGGCAAGGACCAGCTGCCGGGAGTGCTCGGACGGTGTGTCGGCAGAGGACACGGGGACTCTGCAACCTTGGTGCTTAATCATCGCCTGGACCCTTCACCCGCTCTTCCTTTCTGGCACTCGGAGCCACTGATGACTGGGGGGCCTTTGCTGGGGTGTCCTTTCCCAGAGAGCCGCTGCGGGACTTCCTGCGTGGCTAGGCAGGGGCCGCCCCTTCCTTCCCCACCTGGGAAGATGCCGGGGCCGAGGGGTGGGCGGCGAGCCCCGAGCCCACCACAGGCCAGAAGCCCTGGGCCCCAGCTCGTGGTTTCCTCTTGGCTTGCCTCCCACCATTTAGCAAGCCCCCGCGCAGGGTGCCAGCCGTCCCGGGAGGAGTGGGGGGAGGGGGAGGGCCCCAAGGGCTACAGCCAGAAAGCGTGCCCCTGTCCTGGGAGAGGGCGCGGGGTCTGGGGCGTCTGGGTCCTTCCGGAGCCACGGCCGGTGTGTAAAGAAGCTGTTGATACCATAGCCATGGTAGGTAATCCACATTGGATGTCAGTAAGGACCACGGGGATATTTAAAAGAGAGAGAAGTATATATATATATAAAATTATATACACATTTTATCGTACAGATTTTCATACCTTTTCTTCCTATTTGATACTGTAAGCCTCTCTAGGGCAGAGCTGCCTGGGAGTGTGGGTGGGAGCGGGACCACCGCCCGCGCCTGGCTTCTTAAGCTGGCCGCTCTCGCCGCCCACCGCTGCCCTTGGGCCGCGCCCCAGCCAGGTGCCCCGCGGGGAGGGCCGGCGGCCCGGGCTCTCCGAGCACCCGATCCCGCAGCCTCCACTCCCCGGGACAGGCCTGGGAGACCAGCGTGATCCCTCCCCCTCCTCTCAGAGCGTTGAAATTTCATTGTCACAGTTTTAATATATGGATGTTTTAATTTAAGAAAACAGGCCCAGCCCCCTGGCCGGGGGGGCTGGTTTCCCGTCCCCCGTGCTTCCGGTTCGCTCCCCCGGGCGACAGGGCCCTGCCTAGCCCCACTCCTGTTTCCCGCACCTCTGGCCTCTCAGCAGTTTCATTTCAATATTTATTTTTGTGCTGCTTTCATCATGGTATAAATTATTGAGAAGAGCCCCTATGTCGTGGCCCTGTGGTGTGGCGTGCGGCCCGCGCCCGCGCGTCCCCTCCCGGCCACACCTAATTTATTGCTGTACCTCTCCGCGTGACGCTTTTGTACCTTTCAATAAAGAGTTTTCTGGTTTCACGTTGTTTTGCTGCACGGTTGGCGCTTTGGGCCAACCCTCCCTCCTTCCCTGGCCCGGGGGGGGCGCTGTGGACCGCTGCCTGCGCCGCCCCCCATCCCGGCCCCCGTGGCTGGAGCCCCCCCGGGGGTGGGGTCGCCGTCAGATGCTGCTTGTGAGTGGGTCTCCAGGGCTGCGCGTGGAGGGCTCAGGCAGGTGGAGGCAGGCGGGCTCCCTTTCTAGGTGGTGGGTGGAGTTCCCAAGGCCCCTACTGCCCTGACGAGGAGCCCCTGTCGGTGGACGCGGCCCCCCTTCCCAGGCGGGGGCTCTAAGGTGAGCTCGCAGTGGGTGGGAGAGATGGGGTCTGCCTGGGGCCGAGGGCAAAGCCAGTAAGCAGACTCCCCTGAAAGCCAGAGCCGGGGGCCCGGCCAACTGGGCCTGCTGGCGGGGGAGCGGGCGCCCTGTCCTCGGGATGCTGCCCCCTTCTTACCCCCCTGACCTTGGAGGGTCAGGTGGGTCAGCACTTGGCCTTGGCCTCTGAAGGAGGGTCAAGCTTGCCAGGAGATCTGCTGCTCGTTGGGGTTTCTGAACACGGGCAGCCCTCCCGCCCCCCCCCCCCCCCCCCCCCCGCCGGGCTGGGTGGGGCGGCACCTCGTAACCAAGGGACTGTGCTTCAGCGCCAGCCACTGGGCTTGAGCCCCACCCCCAGCTTCCATGTGGCCTCCGCCGGCTCCTGCCCCGCCAGCCCCCAGCTCCCTTCTGCGGAATCAGGTGCGGGGATGGACGCGCTCGGCACAGTGCGGTCGCTGTCTTCCCCCAGCTGAGCAGACCCCCGTGGCAGCCCCGGGAGAGCCCGCACCCCAGCCTGCTGCTCCCGGGAGCCCCCTGGGTGTGTCCCTGAGACCAGAGCTGGCAGCAGCCTCTGGGTGCAGGCTGGGGAGTCACGACCCCGCCCGGCGCTGGGCTCCAGGGAGGTTGTTAAAGGGTTCCTGCCTCCAGGCCGCCCAGCTGCTCTGGGGGCCGCCACCCTGTGGCGTGGACCGCTAGGGCCATTTCACAGGTGAGAACACCGAGGCCAGAGCATGTGGGTGAGACAACCGGCCTCCGTGGCCACCCCTGGCCCCACGCAGTGCAGCCTGGAATCGGGAACCGGGTCTTCGTCAGAGATGGAGAGGTGGCCCGCGGTCCCCTCGGAGCACCCATGCTTCCCCGTCAGCAGGGCCAGGCCCGTGAGGCCGGCAGCCCCTCTGACCTGCTCTGAGGCTCTGTCCCACCTGCAGGTGTGTCGTCCTCACTGCTTGACTTTGTTATGTCGGAAGCGCCTGGCCACAGGCAGAGGGGCCTGTGGGGCTGGGACCGGTGGGCAAGCAGCCCCTCTCGCCAGCTCCGTGACCGCAGGCAAGTGGTTCCACCTCCCTGGGCCTCGGCCACCCGCCCGGGGCCGTCGCGAGGACCGCGCGTGACAGTGCTGGCCCGGCCGTTGGCACACGGCAGGGCCCCCAGAGCGCCAGGCCTGCCCGGGAGCACCCCAGGACCGCACGCTGTGTCGGGGTCTCCGGAAGGCGGCCCTGGCCCACATGCCCTCTGGGTACACAGCCTTGGGCAACTCAGGCCCCAAAGCAGGGCCCCTCGGGCAGCACCGCCTCCCCTGGCTCACCGCAGGGCCTCTGCCCCGCAGCCTCCAGAAAACCTCCCTCCTGGGTCAGCGGGTCTCTGGGGGCCCCGTGGCCACTCGCAAACCAGCTGTCAGACGTGGGGGCCCGAGCTGGGCCTGCCAGCCGCAGAGGGCGCGGTAAGGCAGATGGGGGGCCTCCCAGCTGGCGGCAGGGAGGAGGCCAGCCTATCTTATCGGGCAGCCGGGCTGGGCCCTGGGAGAGGCCGCTGGCCTTGAGTCCCGTGCCCCAGGCCCAGGGAACAGGGGGACAGGGGTGACCCCACTCTGCCCTGGAAACCGTACGCTGGTTCCTGCCCTGCTCAGTCTCTCTGAGACCCTCGGTGCCTTTCCCTCTCTCCCTGGGTGACGTGGGAGCCGGCGGCCGGGAGGTGTGGGAGGTCGTGGCTGGGTGGTGCCCAGGCCTTCCTGCTGCAGCGCTGCCAGCTCTGCACGCCTGCCCGCGGGCGCACCACCCCGGCACCTTTCCCCGGCTCCCGCCTCACCCTACTGAGCGCCCCAGACACACTGGACGGACCACGGCTCACAATCCGCTGCCGCCCCTCCCCACGCGGGGCCCGGCGTCCAGGGCCCACCCTCACTCCCCCGTCCTGTTCCGCCTCCTGGGCCCCAGGCCCCCCGGGCACCAGCCCCCTCCTCGAGCAGGGCTGGCACGGGGCCTTGAACTGGGGAAGCCAAGGCTCCGGACCGCACAGCCGTGCGCACGGCGGGGCAGGCCATCCCGGCTCTAGTCTGAGCTCGTTGCCTGCCTGCTCTGAGCTGCTACTGTGGCCCGCAGCCCCAGAGTGGACGGGGACCCTCCCCGCTGCACCCAGACTTCGCACGATGGGTCTCATCTGTCCGCCTCACTGTGGTCCATTCATTAGAGCACTGACCCTGCAGGAACACAGGCCACTAGAGTCACTAGAAAACCCAGGCTGTTTATGCATAAATAAGTGCAGTTCACCGGGAAGCCGGAGCCCTCCACCCGTGGCCCCAGCCCCTCCCAGACGCCCAGCAGCCACACCGGCCCTTCCTCCACGGGGCCACCCCGCCTCCTGCACTCAGTGTGGAGCCCTCCTGCCTGTAAGGCCCACAGCTCCGGGGTGCCCGGCCCTGCCCGGGAGCTGTCCATCCAGGGAGGCCACCCGAACCGATGGCCAGGTGAGCCCGGCAGGTCCCTGGGCTTGTCAGGTAGGCTCAGGTGCCCTCTTCTGAGGCCGAGGGCCCACCAGGCGATGGTGCGGCCCCGGGGCGCCTGGCAGGGCTACCAAGCGACCTGCTCCACTGGCCAGAGGCGGGATGGGCAGTGGGCTCCACGGGCCTAGCAGGAGGCTCCTAGGAGAGGCCTGACCTTTGGCAAGACGGTCGGTGGGTGAGGGGCCCTGTCCTTTCCCAGCGGCCTGGAGGCGGCTGCTGACCCCGGGGCCCCTACAGCTCCTCCGCGGGGATCAGCATCCTCTTCTCCATGTTGCGGCTCTTCCTGCCCCTGCTGGAGCCAACATCTATGCCAGGGTGGGTGCTGGGCAAGGGGTCCCTGCCCTGGCCGGGTCCCGGGGCCTCGTGTGTGGCCTGCTGCGTGTACTGCTGGTAGGCGGGCGAGAAGTTGTGGATGGCGTCCTGCACGATGTCCTGCGGGCTCACGGTCTCCTTGAGGCCGCTGGAGATGCTCTGCATGGGTGCCGTGGGGGCTGGCGACAGGCAGCGGGTGGGCTGGGGTGCTCCCTGCGCCCCATCATCTTCCCCCGTGCACCCGGACCCCAGGACCTGACCTGTTCCCCACCAGCCTCGGGGCTGCCTGGGCCAGGGCTCCTGCATCTCCAGGCCCTGGCTTCGGCCAGCAGAGGGTGACTCCTAGGACCCAGAATCCCAGCCCAACTTCTCCACCCCAGCCCAGCACTGGGGCTGTCCCAGCCCAGACCTCCTGCCAGAGGTGGCAGAGAGAGACCGCCGTGAGCTGGCCCCCATCCTCTCTCTGCCCTGGTGTGAACCCTTCACACCCTCGGCCACTCCAGGCTGAGCGGTCCAGGCTCAGGCCACCCCTACCCAAACGGGCCATTCTTTAGGGACACCAGCACCAGCCAGCCCTTGGCCTCTCTGGTCAGGCTGGTCCAGGCACCTGGGTATGGTTGCCGGAGCGCCCAGGCTCAGGCGCTGCGCCAACCCCCTATCACCGAGGGACCCTTGGGGGCCCAAACATCAGGTCCAGCCCATCTCACTCAGTGTTCAGCCCGCCTGCTCGCCGGCCTGCCTGGGCTCTTCCCCTGGACCACGTGCCGGTGAGGCACCTGTCTGGAGCTTGGGTCCTCCATGGGGCCATCTCCCTGCACATCAAGTCGACATTCCCAGGGCCCGTGGGCAAGACGGGGGACAGAGACATGGCGCTGGGGGGCCCGGGGCTGGCGGGGCCCCGGCTACCTGGCGAGCGCTCCTTCTTCTCCGAGTACACCTGGCAGGTGAAGGCGTAGCGCAGGGCGATGGAGGCAAAGAGCATCTCGATACAGATGATGAGGTTCTGGTAGCCGGCGGCTACCGTGCCGGCCCGCACACTGCTCCCATCGATGATCTGGGCCTCAGGGATGACCCCACACCGCTCCAGGATGGCCAGCAGCATCCCTGGGGGACGGTGATGGCCACTCAGGTGCCTGCCCCGGACAGGAGACTGGACTGCAGCCGCCCCCAGCCAGGAGTCCCCCTGAGGCCGGCCTCATGGGCTTGGCGGCGGTCTGCCGGGTCTGAGGTCCAGAGGGGCTGGGAGCCTCCAAAGCCGGGGCCGTGGCACAGCGGACGTCCAAGAACTCCCCGAGCGCCTGTCCTGACCTCTCCCTGGCCCCACCCCTCACCGTCCCCTGAGAAGTGGGGTCTGGCGGTGCCCAGAGGCTGGCCCAGGGCCTGCTGAGGACAAGGCTCCACCGCCCCCGCATGGCCTCTCCCCCACACATTGGGCCAGACCTGCCGGGTGGGGAGCCCACCATCTCCCCCGTGCCGGGGGCTTGGTGGCCTCCCACTGAGAGGGCCGCCTGCTGAGCCGGCTACAGCTGGGGCATCTCTGTGGGCTCCAGCCCCTGCCTCGGGAGCCCCACCCACCCTGCCAGAAAGAGAGGAAGATGACGGCCTTGATGGTGAGGAACTTGAGGACAGGCTCAAAGGGCCGCAGGAGCTCCCTGGTGGCGAAGTAGAAGAGGAACAGGGCGTAGAGGGCCAGGCTCACGGAGGCGTTGTAGATGAGGGTGACGTAGAGGTAACCGCTGTGGATGCTGGGGGCCAGAGCCGGGGCCGGTGGTGAGGGTGGGCCCGCGCCCCCATGCCCTCCTCACCCTGCCAGCTGCGCCATTGGCCTGGGCCCCCAGCCTGGGCACCGGCAGTGGCTCA